CGGAAGAGCCAGGCCATGAGGGCTGCGGAAGAGCCAGGCCATGAGGGCTGTGAGGGCTGCGGAAGAGCCAGACCGTGAGGGCTGTGGAAGAGCCAGACCGTGAGGGCGGCGTGGAAGACAAGCTGCGCCGAGAGCAGGGAACGATGGTGCTGCTGGAGGTGAGCCCTGGAATCAAAGTGGGGGGAAATGGGGGTTAAATTACTGATAATTGTGTGGAAAAGGGAATGAAGTGAATTCATGGTGTAATTTCGGTGCTGGGGACAAGGGCTGTCGTGCCGGGGAGGAGGGAGCGGGGAAGGAGGAGGGGACAAAATGGCGGCCGGCGCTGAGGGGCAGCGCAGCAGGGGCTGGTGGCACCAGGGTGCCCAGTGTCAGTGTGTGAGTGTGGGGCAGGAACTACAGCTCAGCAGAGGGTCCCACTGCAGACTGGATTTATTGATGGAAGGTTAGTGGTAATGTTACTGGCAGCACTGGATTAAAAGTCGTGAAAATACAGGCTGGCACGTGGTACCTGCTTTATTCTCCTTGTCCGCTGTTTTTGCAGTACTTAAATGATGGTTAAATTTTTAATTAATAACATAAAGAGCAAAAGGAAATGGTAGCAGAAGCAGAGCCTGGGTGAGAATGGCAGTGTTGTTTGAAGGAAGGTGCCTGTTCTCTCAAACCCTGCATTTGGAACGATCAGGGCCAGGCAGCCCAAGGGCCACCCCAGAAGGGACACACCTGAGGGGTCACGGGCTGGGGCAGTCACATCTGTGCTTAGGAAGTGTCTAAATAATGATGCTGACTGTGCTTGAAACATAGCTTAACATCCTTTTAAGTGGAAAGGTATCAGAAACCTTTGTTCTTTGAGTTTGAGCCTGTTCCAAATGCCAGGTGAGCTGGTTTGTGCTGGGATAGTTTTTCTCACTAGTGTGTCTGGTGCTATGTTTGGATTTGTGATGTAAATACCATTATTCCAGGTATGAAGTTTTGATAAAAATCATTTGCAGACTACAGCAGATAAATCCTTGGATTTCCTCCATCTTGGTGTCAAAATTTATTCTAGATTTATTTCCAGCACTTGTGTTCTGTCCACTTGTTTTCCCTACGTGTGTTACTTTAGGAACAGAAAATACAGGTCCAGAGTGTAAGGGACGTGCCTGTGAGTGATGCTGAGCACAGGCTGCGCTCTGTCAGGGTGTGTAGGTTGACTAAAGTGTGCTATTTTTACCTTTTTATTTTCAGCAAATTAGCTTTGCATAATGGGAACAAATGTACTCCTTGCCATGGCAGTCAAGAACAGCACTGCATTACAGCATGTCTTAAAAGTTCAGCAGATAAAAATATTTATTGTGTTGTAGGGCTGATATAAAGAAGCAGAAAAGAATATTTATAAGTGTTCCTTATGTGTGTCACAAGTAGGAGATGCTGAGACAGGCTGGAGTCAGGTGGGCACTGGATTTCTGAGCAGGTGCTGGGTGGCCCTCAGGAGCCCACAGACACACATGGGCACCTCAACTTTGATTCAGGGAACTGAGAGCATTTTGGTTTTTAAGCATTTTAGTTGCTTAAAACCTGGCTCTAGAAGTCAGAAGGAAGGGGTGCACATTCCAGGCCTTCCAAAAATGAGAGTTTTAATTTTACAGTAACAAACTCCCACCTCTATTCTGTCACTGCTGGGTGCTTAATTGAAAATGAGATACTGGTGTCAAGTCCACCTCTAATTAAAAAGGAGATGCAGGAGAGCATGTGTGTCTGTGCATGTGCAGAGTGCACAGGGTGTGAAAGTGCTGAGTTTTTTGGATCACACTCTTTGTAATTAGAAGTACTCATCTTTTAGCTCCAACTTGCTCTAAATTACTTTTTTTTTGCTAATGAAAATATTGTGCAGTTGCTGTAAGGGAAAACAACCAACCCCAAACCCCTGAGGTTTTGAAAACTTGTTTATACAAATGTTTAGATAAATTGCTTTTTATGCCTTAAATTTCTAAGATCTCTTTGAGCTGTGCTGGAATTTAGAGTGCAAGTCCAAGGCAGCAATAGTAGAGCAATCACCCTGTCTGCCACCCCCAGGTAAGGTGTGCATTGTAATTAATGCCACCCTGAGAACGTGATTTAACCCTGGGTCAGCCCGTGATTTAACCCTGGGTCAGCCCGGCAGTGGCTGGACCAGGCGAGTGGTGCAGGTCCCTTCCCCTGAACTGTGGCCAAATTATAGAAAGCAGAGGTAACTGAAGGCTCTTTTTCCACCTCCTGCTTCTCCTCAGTCTCAGCCATCAGCTGTTCTCCCAGGCCTGTGTTCTACGCCATGGCTTCACGGCCACACAGGTAAATTGGATCTGTGGCAGATGAAGTAGGACACAGCATGGTGCTATTTATCTTTACAGAACAGGAACATTTGAAATGTGACAGCTTCCCAAAGAGTTTTCTTTGACAGGAATGACATTAAACAACTGGCATTTTAAGAAATGCCATTAAAAAAAATTCAAAGCTTTTTTTAGTAAGAATTTAAAAGCATTTTATTGATTGTTTTCCTATAAAATCAAAGAAGTCTTTAATTCCTGAAGAACTGTGTCCAACGATAGGAAAAATGAAAAATGTCCTTAAAAAACATTACAGCATTTTTGGAAAAACTAGGTATGAAAAATATATACAAGGTATTAAAAAAATCTGAATAAAATTAATGCCTGGATTTATACATTCAGTTATGTGTTAAACATCTGCCTGTATACAATAAATTTGTTAAAACAGTAGCAGTCTTTTTTACTATGTTAAATAAGTCTTTGTTCAATTTACAGTTTCTGTCATTACTATTTTATCAGTCCTCTTTTAAATTAATTTACAAGGCTGTATAACCACTGTCAGACCGTCCAGGTAAGTACTTTTGTACAAAATTATTGCCTTCCTACTACAGTTTAAATTGTTAGAGACAGACATTTACAAACACCCAATTCACTCACCAATGAAATCAGCACATTACAGACTATAAAACAACCTCCAGCCCCTGTTCTGAGGCTGGGGAAGGCAACAAGAAGAAAGCCTTGGTACTACAAGTTGTCCCCTCGTTTGTAGTGAGCAGTATTTAGCTGCTGAGTCAGCAGCTGGTCCTTACCCGATGAGGGTTTGCATCCCACAGTCCCACTGAGCTCACACAGCAGGAGGGGGCACTGGGGTGTGCAGTGCCCTGTGAGCACGGGGCAGCACCAGCACAGCTCCTGCCAGGCTGTTCCTCGGGCACTGCCCGAGCTCTGATGGTGCCCACAACAGAGAGGAGACCTGGCACCTCAACCAAACTGTGCAGCTCTTCGCTCTCCCTCTGCTGTGGATCCCACAGGATGATAAAGGTGCAGGTAACTGGAGTTCAGCAGAACACGGAAAGAACTGATCTCCAGTACTGAAGAGCAGAAACCCCCCAGTCCCAGAACAAAGTACTTCATGTTCCTGCAGCCCAGCAAACTCCTGCTCTGAAACAGTAACTGAACCACAGGAGCTCGTTAAACACCTGAGGAAACCAGGAACAAATCGGCTCCATTTCCAGCAGTTACTCTCTGCTAAAATACCTGGGCCAAGATGGATCAGCACCACCCGCTTTGCAGAGTGTGGTACCTTGTTTTTGCTTTCAGAAATCCTTTCACCACTGCAGAACTAAAAGGAGACAGTCTGAGCTGCCTGACAGTGTTTGTTAGAGACCACTCCAGCTGGAGGCACAGCTCTGGATTCTTCTGGAGCTTCTGCCAGCTTTCCTTGTGCCAAGGCCCAGGCTGTCCCTGGATTTGCACTGGAGAGGTAGGTTGGCCTTCCTGAAGTACAGAGCTGGTTATTCTAGTTCAGGTCACACAGGTTCTGACACAAGTGGGAAGTATTCCATTAACACCCTGGCTGGTACTGGGACTGTCCCACTGCAGCTCTTTGGGACACCCCCAGCATTGCTCTTCACCTCCAGCTCCATGGATGGGGCCCATGTCTGCTGTCCCGTGTCCTGTGCAGCTCTGGGGAAAGCAAGTCAGGATACTGAAAAACGGAGGGAGTAAGAACAGAAGGAGGCGGGGATGGAGCAACTGAAGCCAGAACTGGAACGAGTGAGAAGGATGCAGAGCTGAGCTCCCAGGACACTGCTGTGAGCTGCACTCTGCTCCTGGTCTAACCAGGCTTCAGTTCGGAGCTCTTGGAAGGCAAAGCGAGGACGGACACGAGTATCCAAACGTCAGTGCTCTGGTGAAGGGGGTGTGGGCTCCGGTGCCCCCGTCCCACAGGGAGCCCCCAGCAGCGGGTGCAGAGCGTGGTGTGGGGACAGGAACACGCTACACGTTGGTTTCCAGCCCCAGCAGGCGCCCCATGCGCTCCATGTTCTTGTCCAGGGTGGCACGGCAGGTGATCTCCTTGGCACACTCCATGGGGAACCAGCCCCGCTGCCCGTCCCGCAGCCGCTCCCCCTCGTACCAGCCTGCAGGGACAACAGGGACACCGTCACAGCTCTGTCACACCTGGCTGGCCTGCACTGAGGTGACACTCACAGGCATCACACACGTTATACACCGGCCCTGGCACTGAATAAAGGACCACATTAAGAGAGATTTGGCAGCTTTTTATACAGGCAGACTAGGGAAGAAAGTCTACGTAAAATGTATTACACAATTTCATATTGTAATTAAACTATAATTTGCAATAATGACTATACTATCATTGCAATCTAAAGAGAGCAGTGCAGCACAAGTGACAGCATCTTGGATTTCATACGTAACACTGAGTAACATCCAACTGGGATTTATCCCTCAAGTTCTGGCAGTGTCCTGCCTCCCTGAGCCAGCACATGGTGCTGTCAGTGGAGTCACAGGCATGTCCAGGCATGAACCAGTTTTGATCTTGGGGTGCTTGATGCTGTGGAAAACCTCAGCAAACTCCCCGAGCCAGAGCTGTGCCTGTAGCAGGCAGGGAAGCTCAGGCCATGGCACTACTCAGACTGGGGATGCTTCTCGTGGACAACCCTGGCACTCACTGGAGTGTCTGAGGTCCTCATTTTTAGATAAATGCAATTTCTTATTTGTGGACATGTCAAAACCAGGCAGCACACACGTTCTGCAGCTGGTTATACTCTGCTCAACTGCTGCCCAACAGAGCCTGTCCTTTAGAAACCTGAAGCCAGATGTCCAGGCTTTTCTTGGAAGCTGAACCTTTTCTCAGTTGAGGCCCATGCTATTAGAACCAGTTTTTTCCAGCTGGATCTCCTGCAGAGGTGGTTATGACTGACAGCCAAACCTTCACTCACCGTCATTCACTTTTTGATAAACCAGAACGACATCAGCCACTTGGAGGGACAGTTCATCGGCCTGCTTGGCTGTGTATGTCCTGATGATCTCCACCTGAGCCAGAGCTGGGGAGCAACAAGCCAGGCTCAGTTAAACCAAGCTCAGAGCAGTGCACCTCATTAAAGCACACAGACCATTTCTTTTTCAAACCTCCAGGGTGCACTTCCCTCCATGCCCCTCCCCTGGGCAGTCCCAGCCCGAGGGGGGGGCAGTCCCAGCCCGAGGGGTCACTCACTGGTCCTGTCCGTGTGCAGCCCGTCGCTGTCCTGCCCCAGCGCTGTGATCCACCGCGCTCTGTCACTCCTGCAAGGCAGCAAACAGAGCCCCGTGTCCCAGATCATGCTCTTGAGAGTGTCAGCACTGAGACTGCCCTTATTTCCTCCACAGTCAGCACATATCTCCTCAGCACCTGGGAGTAACCTGGGTGTATCACCAGTGTGTGTATTTTGTGCCTTAGTGACAGGACGATACAAAGGTCTAACCTAACCCCGGTTCCTTTGTCCTCAGGAGCCACACACCACATTAGGTGACAACTGAATAACTGTGCTGGAAATCTTTGTGTCAGAGAAAACATTTCAGTTTTACCTGCACAAAACCCTGTTCCATAGGCACTCTGACCCACCCAGCTTGGCCTTGGAGATTCCCTTCCCAGCCTGCTCAAAGTACAAGATAAGACTGTAAAAATAGGTAATTTTTAAATACAGGAATTCTTTTCAGCCTCTTCCTCTGAGTGATGATCTACTATTTATACTGCAAACAGTACAGAACAAATCAATAATAAATCTGAAGAACAAAATGTCTTTTCATCCAAAGCCCAGACAACTAAAAATGTCCTGCATTTTTTCCCCAATAAAATTGCATTTTCAAACAAGTCTGAATCATCTGCTGCCTTCATAATGAGTTCTTTCATAGAAAGCATTGATGATCTTTAGTTTCTTTCAGGGTTATTCTAAACTTTGAAAGCAAACCTAAAACTATCAATTTTTCCAGGCAGGGATATGTCTGGAGCTCTCCCTTTCATGTGTCTGTCCCGCCTCCAGCTTCCCCCGAACAGACAGACTCTCTCAGTGCTGGGGAGGTCGTGCGGAAGTTAATGGCCCTCAGAGCCAGGCTGGGCACCCACAAACAGGACCCTGGTTGTTGCTGCTCACACTGCCCAGGAGAACAAGGACCAGGCTCTCCCAGCAGGGACAGCTCTCCTCCTCCCACTGCTGCCCCGTCAGTCCCCACAGCTCAGTGCCAGGGACTGGGCTCAGTGTCTGCCCGCTCCCACCCCGGGCCCTGGGACACTCCTGTCCCCCCCTGTCACCCCTGGGGACACCCCTTGTCACCCCCTGGGACACCCTGGGACACTCCTGTCCCCCCCTGTCACCCCTGGGGACACCCCTTGTCACCCCCTGGGACACCCTGGGACACTCCTGTCCCCGTCCTGCCACGGTGGGACAGCCCTGACCCGGGTGAGGGACCGGACACAGCTGTGACACCACCCGACGTTACTGCAGCCCCTACTCACTGAGTCTCTGCTCCCAGCAGCATCTCCACCCTGTCCCCCGCGTGGTTGCTGAGCACCAGCAGCCTGAAGAGGTGGGCGGCAGAGCCCCGCGAGTGCAGCACCGCGTTCCTCCCGGGAGAGCAGCCGGGCTCCTCCTCGCAGGGCTGCACCACCAGCTGCTCCCGCAGCGAGTGCTCCGTCACCGTGTAACTCTCCTCACTGCGGGACAGAGCGGCACAAACACACCCCGGGTTAATGGCTGGGTTCCACGCAGGAGGTCTGGGTGCAAACACCATCACAGAACCCACATTTAATTCCAGAGTCCAGGATGGTTCTTCCAACACCTCATCTCCACGGGTGGGGTAACAGCTCCTGCCACTGTGCTGGTGTGAAAACCAAGCTCTTACTGGGCTCTGTGGGGTGTGTTTTCACTGTTCTGCAAATTAAATACTGAAATGTTCTGGTTTTCTGCAGAACACCTTTGTATGTGATGGACACAGAACACACCCCAAATGGAACCCCTCCTGCTCTGCTGCTCTGAACCAGGGAAAGGTGGGGTGGGTTGGGTGGGTTTTGTTCGGGTTTTTTTTAAAGAAACCAGTATTTTAGTCTGGACAACTCCTGCTTAGCCAAGGACAGAACTGGGAATGCTGCCATCATTACCTGGAAGACTTGCATCTGAGAAAGAAATGTGTCCATACACTTGTGTAATGAATAATAAATGCATTCCTTGCTAATTATCAACTAGTTTGCACATGTGCACAGCTAATCATAACTGCATTTCTTACCAGTTAATCAAGAGAAACCTTTACAAACCCCTCCTACTCCTTACCTCCATTCCACAAACCAGTGGGATCAGCCAGGGCAGGGCAGCCCTCACCCTTTGCCCTCTGTGCCTCTGATGCCCACACAGTGCCTTGTGCTGCCTTTGGTTTATGGAATCCCCCTGGCATCCTTAGACAAACCACAGGATTGCAGGTAACGCTCCCAAGAGCGCTGACCCTCTGGCAGGTAATATTCCCAAGCAGCAGTGACCTTTGGCCTGCCAGCACTGACTGCTCCTGCCAAGATACTGCATTAAACCCTCAGAAGTATTAAATCTTTTTTTAATGATATTTGAAAAAGAGTCGGATTGTGTCTACACACAGAAGGAGCTACAAGGACAACTGACAGACAAAACGTTCCCAATAAACTAAAAGCTGGGCAGTGAGTGGGGAGAAGCAGAGTTTTACTGCTCTCCAAAGCCTTGTGTACAATGACACATCCCAAGTTCCCATGTCCCCTCCTGGCCTGATCCCAGGGAGCAGCCCTTTGCCTCAGTCCCTCACAGGGCCAGTGTGACAGAGCAGCTGCTGCTGCCCCACAGGTCAGAGCCTGTCCTGGCAGTGCCACCCCACAGCCCCGCAGGGACCAGTGCACGGAGCCAGGACAGAGCTGGCAAGGATGGGCTGAGCCAGGGCTGCCCACGGACTCTGTGCAAGGACCAAACTGTGCCACTGCAGCACTCACAAAGCTCTATTTTTAGCACAAAGTGATGTCTTACTGCAATGTTAAGAATCTTCTGCTCAAGGAAAAACACAAATATTTAACCTCAACTAGCAACCAACATTTCTGTCCAGTGCTGCAGTGCCGTGGCAACACTGTGGGTGGGAGCACAGAGCACCCAGAGCCCAAACTCTGTTAACAAGCTTTGTCACTTGGGCAGGGGGAGCTTCCTGCTCAGGGTATCGGGGACTCAGAGCTATTAGTGCTGTTCCATCACATCCCTTCTACTGGGTATCCTGGGACAGCAACCGTGTGAGTGTGCCAGTAACACAACAGGTTCTGTCACCGGCCTCTGGGCCCAGCTGGGATATTTCCCTTCCAGCAGCTGGAAGGTGTTACAAATCCAAAGCCTGAGTTTGGATCAGAGCTGCTGTTACACAAATCTGGTGTGTGATCGGGACAGCAACAGGGACCAGTGAACAGGGACCAACAGGGATCAAGGACCTGTCACTGCTCCCCCAGCCCCAAACTGGCACAGCACAGCAGCCCCACGTTTAACCCAGTGTGACCCAGCTCTGCAAAGAGCTGCCAGGGAGGGGACAAGGGACTGTCTCACAAACATCCAGCACAAGCTTCAATAAACACGGAATCTCAGAGACCTTCACACCAGCACAGCAGACAGGGAGAAATCCAGGCACATTTCTTCCCAGCTTTAGAAAAAAACTCCACTTAAATAATTCTCCCCCTTCACTTTGGTTTCTCTTTGCTTAAATATTACCATTTTCTTCCCAAATGTTATATCATACCCCACTCCTCAAAATTTATTTCAATTACAGATTTGCAGTCTCACAGAAGGGTTTGGCTGAACAGGCCAACCCAGATGCAAAAATAGTTCTTCAGAACAGTTCTCAGCCTCAGGAATAAGGTTCATTCCTCAAGTATTACCCAACAGCAGCAGCAGAGGATATAAATTCCATCCAATTTGATTATTCTACACCTCCCCTCAAATCCAGTGATAAAAATGTAAATGGCAACTGCTGGAAGTTGTACCACATCTGCCATCCTCAAAAACCACCCAAGCGTGGGGAGCGTGGAGGGGAATGGACATTCCTGCTCCTTTATCCTTCCCAAACTTCTCCCTTGGCTAAGGCATCAAGAATGAGCTTTTTAACTGGTTTGACAGTTTGGAATTTCAATTGTGTTTGCCAAAAGTAAATCCTGTTTAATGAGCAGTTACTCGTCGTTTGCACCCAGGGGCTGATGGACAGAGACTCAAATAACTGCTGAACTCATTTCTCAGCCACCACCACGTTAGAAGTCAATGCTTCAAGGAGCTGAACACAAAGGCAGTTTTATACTGGTGGAGCTCTTACCTCTTCTTCTTGGTGATGATGAGGACATCATTGAAGAGGAAGAAGTAGACCTGCTGCTTAGAGGTTCTTTTGGAAAAAAGTCCAGTGTCTTCTACATACGCTGTTAATTCGCCCCTTTTCACCAACCACCGTGAAGAGGAAACCAGTGGAAAGGGCTGCAAGGCAAGAAAATCCCATTTTAGTCCTTCAAATGTAGAGATATTTTTTAAAAAATCAGAGACTGGAGTACGATGTATTTGGGGAAGATGCTTGAATAAACTCAGAGCTCACAAAGCGGTTACCACGGTTTAAGGGACCTCCATCACTCCTACAACACACAGGTAACAGCTGCAAATACCTGGGAATCACTCGGGCACCTGATCATTGCTCACCAAAAGTAAAAATGAACAGACCTGACTGGTCACACTTGGGGTGGAACAGACTGTGAGACCTCCCGAGGGCAGTAAAACCGAGCCTGTCTTCCAGGAACGTGTTTGTGGATGGCTCCTGAGGCACCTGTGCACACTGGACTGTGCTCCCGGTGCCTCCCGGCTCTTCCCGGAGCGCCGGAGACGCTCCCTGTGCCAGTGTCACCCGGGACACTCAGCCAGGTTTGCAGAAACCTTCACCCCCCAGCAGGTGCAGGTAGAACCTTCTTCCTTCCAAGGCTGTTACCACCCCACACCTCTGATGTGTTCCCATGGGCTGCTGTTCTCAATAGGAGCCCTTCAAGTCCTGTCCGCTGGCAGGCTTTATTTAATATGGAGAATGAAGGATTCTAGTTTCTCTCTGGGTGAGGACCAACACCTGCAGCAAAGCCACAGAGGGTCTGAGCTGCCTGATGTGAAGGTCTGAATTTATTAACCCAAATTATTCCCAACTGCAGGAGAAACAGAGCCCACAGAAGGCCCTTTTGTTTCTCTGTGCATGAACACGAAGGGAGATGTGAGACTGTGTGTCCTGGTCACACAGAGCCTCTCTGAGGCTGTGACACAGCCCAGGGAAGGGCCACACTAATGAACACAGCTGCCTGTTTCCCCCTCATTTAAGCACCTCTCACATGCTTTTAAAACACCCCCTTCATGCAGCCTGTCAGCTCCTTCCCATTCTGCATGAACTGCCTTTGTGCATCCCTTAATCCCTGTGCTGAGCCAACCCTGCCTGTACCTGCCCAGGGGGCTGAGCCAAACCCAGCCCAGCTGGGACTGGGACCCTGCTCGTGGAAGAACAGAACAGGAACTCCCGAAAATAACCCCCCACAACTTCTCTGCTGCTAAAGATGAAAAGTTGAAGAACTTCTGAACCTTGATTAAAAACTCAGTTCTAGAGATGTGCCACGTACAAAAGTGACACAAGATCTGAGTTGCTTCTCTTGTGCTCCCATGAAATTCTCCACAGTTACATCTAACAAAATAATAAACAAAAATCTCCAAACATTCTGAGGCTGGGCAAGAACAGAAATACTTTAACTAATTTATAATGGTTATAAAACAGAATTACAGCCCCATGATGATTGGTTTACAAGCAAAAAATACTTTACAAAGTTCTATTTGAGGATGAACTAAAAATTCCTCTAATCTGTACTCCAAGTGAGTTCATCCCATTTTCCTAATTGACTCTATTCCAGAGGCAGCTTGGTTTTACTTTAATTTTTCCTTAATTGCCAAAGGAGCACATCACGTGCACCATCTCCCTGCTACAGAAAACAGGCTCTCAGAACTGAAAAATGCCTTGAGCCCTGGCCAAAGTGGGGCTTCCTCTGCCAGCTGGCAACTCCCCCGACCAGACAGGGCCTGAGCCACCACAGGCTGCATTTGGGATGCACAAAGGAAAATTCTCCCATAAAAGCACAGAAGGACAAAGCCCCCGGAGCTGCTGTTGCTGCCCCAACACCAGCACGAGCTGTTCCCTCATGGAGGGGATGGACAGAGCCCCCGTCCCGAGGGAAGGGACAGGAACCCCCGAGGGGCTCCTGGGATTGGGAACTGAGTGGAGCCAGAGAGGGGCTCAGCCCCAGCACTGGGCTGGGCTCACCCGAGTCTGGTATCACCACTGTCAGGAAATGGCACTTGGCCAGAAGTGTTTTATTTGTCGTTGCTGTTGCTCTACGTAAATATTAGTACTGTTTCAATTTTTAGTCAAAATTTGAGAATAAAAATCCTTTGGACAAGTTGAAAAACCTCTTTTTGGAAGCAGCATTTCCCCCAAGCCTGACCCTCACAAGAGCCACGCTTTTAAAACCATGAACCTCCACTCACTACACGTCTGATAATGAAACAATCTTCTCTCAAAGGAATCCTCACTGTGTAAGTGTCAGACACTCAGGACAGAAATGGGATTTCAGCAAACATTGAATAGAAAACAATAAATGTACTTGAAGAAAGATCTTCAACGTCCAATAAACCCCCTGCTATATATGACTGGGTCTGCTGGTTATTCCTACCACAAAGACTGACTGGAGATGATTTTTTAGCAGAAACCTGAGATGTCCCACCCTTAAGAGAAAGGACAAACATCCCCAGGATCCTTCCCTGGCCTGGAAGCTTTTTCCCAGGACATCTTGCCCATCAGGTACATGAGAACACCCCGGCACTGAGCAGCATCTCCTAATGCCAAAATCTTCACAGCAGCTTAATTTTTACAGCAAAGAATACTCTTATTTCAGTATATATTCAAAACCCTTGTGCTGTAGTGTCACCTTCTACTAGAAATGATCAAAATACTTGACCAAAATTTTAATTTTTGTCCTGACACATCAGATGGTTTCTTTGCAAGAATCACTGTGGGATATGACAACATGGTAAGAATTCCACTGCTTCCTGTGTCAATGAAATGGTCAGAAATATCCTCCTGCCCATACCTTGATTTTGAATTCCAGCTGGGAGTTAATGGTGTACATCATCTCCGTCCTCTCCATCTTCCGAGCGCCCTCGTTGCACAGACGGACCAGCTGGGAACGAGACAGGGCTGAGCTGGGCTCAGGGATTGCACCAACTGCTGTTCCCTCAGGAAAGGCACTTCCAGGGAGGCACAACCCCCCAGCAGTGACACTCCAGGCTGGGTCACCCCCAGAGGGTGTCCACGGGTGCCCAGGGCTGGCCCCACACCCGGCCCTGACCCTGAGACCCCCTGACCTCCACAGCCCCCCAGGACCCCGGGAACTGGTTATTCAGGGGCAGTGGGACAGAGCCCAGCCCAGGTTCTGGCTGAGCAGGGCCACAGTGCTCTGCTCCAGGGGAATGATCAGCTCCACACACAGCCCTCCCCTGCTCCAGCCACGCTCTGCTCCCACACACACACCCAGCAGCACCAGTGGCACCAGTCTGGGCTCTTTTCCCAAGTAATAACCAGTAATTCTGGTGTAAAACCCATCCCCAGGGGCCCTTCTTAAATACAGCAATGTGGAGGTTTTATGCCTCAGTGCTCCTCCCACCTGCATTATTATTGCACAAAACCCATCCCTTTTCCCTCACAGTGCACAGGAATGTTCAAGGGCCAAGGTAATGTCCAGCCCCAGCAAGCAGAGAAGCAGCTTTTTGTTCTACTAAACAACAGCCAGCACTTCCCATCTCACATCAGCCCATGATACACTACAGCTCCTGAAATGCTGAGATCTTGGGAGGCAAAAAAACCCAGTTTTCTTTTCATACCCCCACGTTCTGTTTTAAAGAGGTGTCTTTTCTAGAATATAAATACATTAAGCAGATCAATTGGAATTTCCCAACAATTAAACAAAACAAGGGATAATCTGCTTGCACAGGTTCAGAGGGAAGGACCCACATTTATTATCCAAGTCACTGTTGTTGTAATGTACAGTCTGTGCCTGGAAACTGGACTTCTGTTCATCTCCCACCACTGACTCCTGGCAGAAAACCCTGACTAGAGGAGAGCAGCTCTGAAGCACTGAGAGCAGGGCAGCTGGTTCAGTTAAGTCTGCTCAGAAGATTCAGACTTTCTTTACTGTCAGGACACTGTTCTGGGGTTTGTGATACACACAGTCCACCCTGGGCTTTCTGTTGGAACAACTGGCATAAAACACAATACATTTGTCCAACTACACAATGAAACAGGTGAACGATAAACATGAAAATTAATTCTCAAGTGACCAACAAAACCCCAAAGCAGCCACTTCTCTGGTGGGTTTCTGAAATGACAAAGGCCTGGAAGGCGATTCAGGAAGGAAAACAGTCAAAGCAGGAAAAATTCTGCAGAGAAAAATTTCAGTGAGCACTTAAGAATGTACCTTGCTGACTTCTTTTAGAGCCTGCTTGCAGTTCTCATATTTTGCTGAATCCTTGGGAGTTTTCTGGCAAATGGTCTGAAATTAAACATCAGTTACTTCAGAGGACCAAGCAGCACAGACTGCAACCCACAGAGAACTCAGAGTCCATGAACAAACTGCCCAGGTGATCAAATTAATCAGTGTCCAATTTGCAAACCTACAGAACCAAATCATCAGTCCTGTCTCTGGCTCCTACCAGAGCTGGACTCCGAACCTGGATCCCAGTTGGGTGTTCCAGCTCCTCCTCTGGTTCTGGCACCTCACCTGAACTGCCACAAGCCCTGGTGTGAACTGTGGCACCAACACTCCTGGCACTTCCATCACACTCCCGGGCTCCCCAGTCGCTGCACACGGAGGGACAGCTCAGTGCCACCCCCACACAGCTCCCCTGCCCTTGGGAATGGAGTTCATCCTTCGGGAATGGAGTTCCACTACAGACAATTTCTGTGCTCGAGCCTCCTTGGTTTCAAAATTATTGTGACCTTTACTGTACAATTTTCCTATTAGAATGTCCAAATCTTTAACTTGTGAATGGGGGTCAGGAGCAGGAGGGACCAGTCACAGTCAGCAAACAAATGCAGCAGGACTCCATAATCCACAGCCCAGGACATACAGCCCTGGACTGGCACAAGAGGGAAGATAGGGAGAGACTGGAACGAACCAGGAATTGAGTATGAGAGCATGTGAACACTGAAGGAACATGTATCAAGGAAAAACAGAGAAATAGCTGTTCTCACATCCATCAGTAAGGGGAGACGAGTGACTCTCTGCATGGGAAGGATGAGGAAGGAGATCATGGGCAAATTCCTGCAATCCTCGTGGGACTCGATCCGGGACAGCACCTCCTTAAACGCTGGATTTGTGGCTCTGGGGGAAAAGAGGGAGAGGATTAAATGGTGTGTTTTACCAAATAATTGTGCAAGTTGCCAGATCTCAAATAAATCCTGGTTTCATTGCCAGGGAAGTGTGATTTGCAGGAGCTGGATCACCTAAGCCCGGCACTGACACCAAACTCAGGCACTGCCATCCCTGGCCGTGAGGGCAGACCCAGGGGAGCCCGTGGGACACTGAACTGATGCAGGAAAGGGAACCAACCCCTGTGACCACGGCAGGATTGGGCTGTGCAGCCCAGTGAGTCCCCACTCCTTGGAGGAGCGTGCAGGGACAGCTCAGCCTGTCAGCACATGCTGGGAGCCACAGGTTTTGCACCCAACTCCAGAGCCTCCCCCTCACTGCCAGCACAGGTGGTGGTGCAGTGCCAGCCCCCGGGTGCTCACAGCAGCCTCTGCAGGGTGCGCTGCTGGTACACCTCGTTGGTGCAGTACTTCACGTAGGGGTCGAAGGAGGAGGCCGCGTGTTTCTCCACGATGTCACTGATGTCATCGATGAAGATGTTGTTCTGGTGCCTCGCTTCCAGCTCTTCAAAGAACCTGGGAAGAGGAAATGGGTTCCTCACTTTGACAAGAAAACAGTGTCTTACTCTCATGGCATTTCCCACTTCACCTGCCATGAGCTGGGACTTTACAAACTAATGACAACTGGAACGGTTGGTGACAGGGTGAGATCACCCCTCCTTTGGCAGGGCAGTGAGGGAAATCCTGACAGGACACAAATCCAGGGGTTGGTGTCCCCTGGCAGCTCAGCAGCAGTGTTGGCAGAGCCAATTCCCACTCTCCCAGTGCCAGAACCCAAACAGCATCACTGAGCTGGTCAGACCAGAATTTCCAGAAATGGAGTTGGAAAAGAAATGAAACTACTTCAAACACACATTAACACATTTCCTCTTGCAATTAAAGGCAGCACAACACCAGAAGTGCTCAATGAAATCAAGGTCTGTGTGACTGCTGAGCCAAAGACAAAAGCCATGGTTGGCTGAGGGGGACATGATGCTCATGTTCCACATCCTCCAACCCACCCCTGGAACCAAACACAGATTGGAAACACTGAAAACGGGCACAGAACCCAAAATCCTCTGCTGGCTCCTCCCCTAACCATGCTTGTTGTCCCACATGGAAGTCTCTTTGGCCTCTGGAAGCTTCCCACTCCTTTTGGCACTCTTAACTTTCCCACAGCACGAGCCTTGATTTCCACCACACTCACTAGAAACCTCTCCCTGTTTGGGGAGTAAGAGCTCACACAGACCAGCTCTGCAGGTCCCCACAATTCCCCCCACAGCACACCAGTGCCATCCTCACACACGCAGAGCTGCTGACAATATCTCACCAGCCCTGGCCACAGCCTTTGTAGATCAGGATTCACTGCCAGAATCCTCAACTCCCTGGAGTCAATGAGCTTGTTAAAAATTCTCACATAGTAGAGAAAACATTAATGAAATACTTGGCACTCATGATCCTACATCAAGTTCAAATATTTTGAAACCTGTTTTATTTCATTTCAGCCCTTTATTCCATTTTCTCATCACTAACAGTGGCTCTTCAAATCTGTCACCTTTTTTCAAGTGTGCCACTGATGTTCTCCAGAGTCTGTTTTGCAAACACACCTCAAACCTGTGAGGGGAGGAGAACAGGATGAACAGCAGCTGATCACCCACGTGTGTAGGAACAGGGGTTAACTAAGTTAAGGTATTTTCCAGAGGTAGCTGCTGCACTGAGTGGCTGCCAGGCTCCCACTGGGTCAGTCACAGAGTCAGGACAATCCAGGGGATTTTGTCCCATTTTGGATTTTGTCTGGTTTTGTTAAGTTTGGACACAGTAACTGCACATGCACTGGCTGATGTTTGTGTTGGCATTTCATGGAAAACAGGGTACCACAAAGAGGCACCACCTGCCCTACTACAGCTTCCCCCTTCCCTTCCCCTCTCAGTGGTGCTCTTTAACAGCCTTGTCACCTCTGAAGGGCAGAGTCCCCACACCCTCTGCCCCCCCATCCTCTCAAAGCACAACATATTCCAAGTTGTCACTGACTTTGCTGTGCTGTGGATTTGGGTTGAGTGTTAGGACATTCCACTCACTGCTCCCAGAGCTCCAGGGACACACACTGAAGGGAAGAGCTGCCTCAAGTGTCACTGGGGTCCAAGAAGGTAAAAAAACAAATAAAAAATGAAATAAAAGAGTCTCCAAGTCACAGAGTCTGCAATTTCTCATGAACCACAACAGATTCCCATCACTGCCCACCAGGAACTGGGATTCCTCACTCTGCTCAGACATATTTACAGCTGGGAGAAACTCCCACTGCTGCCAATTTACTGTGCTCAGGAAATGAGGAAATCCAGAGTTTCCTGCTGGGTTATGGCACCCTGACAAGGTGTTGGACCCTGCTGGGCCACAACTTCCACTTTTAGAATTTATCTGGTGCTTCATCAATGACATCAGACACAGTCACTGTAAGATTTGTAAAAATCTGGGATAAAGAAAAAAGGGAATAGAGGGGCAGAGAGAAGCAGCACCCCCAAGTCCATCCCCCCAACATGTACTACAAGGAAATCATGCACTGAAGTTTGAATCAAAGGTTGTGGTTTTTCACATCCAATCTGCTAATTCCTAGATACAATCAGTGAATCAGACACATCATAAACCCTTTCACTTATAAATTTAGGACATATTCTGTCACATCTCAGGACCGAGGGATGGAGTGATTAAATTCAATTTAACCAACTAGGAATTAGCTGTGCTGTGTGATGCTTTTTTTTGCTGAATACCAGAAGGATTTATTTAAAGAATCTGTTTCTGTTAATTCCAGAACTTTTCAGGTTGAAGTTACATCCAATTAAGTGGAAGTCAAACAGCATCACAGGACAGAATTTGATTTCCCTCATCTTGCCCTTATGTTGTTTAAAAGAAACATCCAATCTGTACCACTCCAGCCCCTCCCCTAAAGCTGAGGGCCAAATCCAGGACTGCAGGTTTAGCTCATTCCCTGTTTGTTTGTGTCCAGCACAAGCTCCAGAGACACTGGAGCTCTGGCAGTGCTGGCTCTGCCCTGTGTGACAACAGTTTCCTCCTCACAGCTCTGGTGGCTCCTGTAAAGGCTCTTCCCGTGTCTCCGGGCAGATCAGCTCCTGGAATGACCCCCAGGAACAACTTCCTGACACTTGCTCAGGCAATTCCCTCAGGCTGTTCATTCCTCCTCACTGGCACTGCTTTATCCAGGACCGACAGCCCCCAGCTCCTCCAGGACTCCCGTTAACTGGGGTGTTAATTGGGGTGTACAGTCACAGACCCACAGCGCTCCAGGAGCAGCCCCAGTTCCCCACAACCCACCTTTGCAGGGCCCCAACAGCTGGTGCCCAACTGCCAAAGTCCCACCACAGAGTTCTGCTCCAGCACAGCCCAGGGTCCGTTCTGGCCAATGTTTCTCCTCAACATTTACTCTCCCTTCACCCCTGGATAACTGAGCAGGACTTACATTCCCACAAATACTGGATCCTACCATCTGCATATTCCAAAATTAGGCTGCACTGGATTAAGAATTGTTGCTCAGTTTGTGAGGTTATCAGGCCTGGTGTCTGACACAAGACAGACTGTCCTGCAGACTCAGCTCGAGTGCTGCTGCTGCCACATGGCCACCCAGGAACAGAAACAATCCACTGCAGTGGCAGAGAGCACAATTCACCTTCCTCCTCCCAGAGATAAGGGAACTGGAATAACAATTGCCAATTTCAGATAACTTCAGATAAAAGTAATAAAGATTTCTGATTAGACTCTCCAAATGTGAATCTTCTCACCAGGAACAGAAGCTGAACATCTGCATCACTCTGGTTATTTGGGGAAGGGGAGGGGGATTTAAAATAGTAAAAATGTGAAAAAATCCATCCTTTTTTCCATAGAATTGTTATGCTGAATCATAATCAGAGCTTTTACAAAAACCTAAATAATGGAAACCAACCTGTATCTACACACATAAATATTACACCAAACCCCGCACAGCCAACAGCCCATAAAACACCTTTTACTGGGCAATGCCCACCGAGCCCTCCAAACCTGGGCTGGCACCTGCAATCCCTCAGTCCCAGCAAACACTGGTGCTGCTGTAACACAACAGAACTAATCCATTGTTGCTCATATAAGAATATGAATAATATAAAAACACCAATTAAGCATTGCTTTGCCTTGGGGGGAAACTCTCCACCTCAGCTAGAAACAGCAGTGACTTAGAGTGCCCAGCAAACTCTGCAGGGAAAGCGTGGAATTTATTTTCATTTCCAATGACAAATTCCCCCCAGGCTCCTGCCCCCAGCCCTCAGAGCCAGTGGGTGCTGCCCTGGGCACCCCCGAGGCTGTGCCACACCACAAACACTGCCAGGCTCATCTCCCCACCAAGGTGCTCACGCTGAAGGTCCAGACAAGGGCAAGGCCAGAGGGCAGGTTGGACAGCCCCGGGAGGTGCTTTCAGCAGTGCCTGTCACGGGACAGCCAAGGGCAGGACACAGCCCCCAGTGCTGCTGGATTCTCCCTGTGCCACCCCAGGATCTGCAGCCCCTTCCCGGCCCATCTGCAGCCCCTTCCCGGCCCATCTGCAGCCCCTTCCCGGCCCATCTGCAGCCCCTTCCCGGCCCATCTGCAGCCATCATCCAGGGCAGCAAAACATCACACAGGCCTAAAACCAGGGAGAGAGCCACAGGGTTTGACTCTGCTGCACACAGAGCTGCTTCTCCTCTAAAACGTTTAAATAAACATCTGTATCTGTGATGTTCCTACTGACACAGCCACATCCATAGGAGCGGCACATCCCACCCTGGCAGGGGACATTCCCCTGGTACAAACCCCACAGACCCACTTCACTGCTCCCAGAGCAATGGGCAGGCCTGAGCCCAGCTCCTGTGTGTGCAGGGACAGCCTCCAGCTCAGGAACTGCAGGTTTGAAATCTCATTTAAACACAGCACACTGAGCCCAGAGTCCCTGAGAGGAGCCAGGGGGACACACAGCCATCCTCCCCCTGACAGCCTGGCTGAACACAGAGCTTTCCAGGCTTACCAACACCTTGGTGCCTTCTCAAAGCTGCACATTTGTTGTGCAAGAAGGGCAGTGGCAGATCTCAAACCACACTGATCTCGCTCAGCCCCAGCCAAGAGAAGCTGCTGCTTCCCTCTGCATCAGGCTCTGCCCAAGGAAAGCTGAGATGTGAGTCCCAGGAACTGCTGAGCCTCCACCCACTTTACTGCCAAAGGAACACCCAGATAAACACAGTTGGTCTATTTTGTGCTTCCTGCAGCAACAGTAAATCTAAATACTGGTGAGAGATCCCTAAGCTGCTCCCACAACAGCCCTGCAAGCCCCACCAGCAAAGCCCAGTGGCTTCAGAGGGTCTGTGTGGGCAGTCCCAGAGATTGTGACCCCAGTGCTCTGCAGGAAGGGACCTACAGGACAAACACAGTTTGGGTTACAGCTGGAAGGCTTTACAGGTTTTAAGTACTTTTGTTCTACTGTCCTCAAACACAAGTATTCACATAAATCACTCTGTGCAGAGGGTGGGCCACAGAAGAGCCACAGGCTGCAAGAAATCAGCTGCAAATGCTGCCCTGGGATGATTTCTTTGTTTTCTTCTTTAAACAGAGAATATGTTTCCATCATACAGGAATGGGTTTCAGTACAAATAGCTGTCAGGGCAGCTGGCAGCTCCACACCATAGTTCTGGCCACGGAGCTCCCACAGCTCCTGTCCCTGCCCCTCCTCTCCAGGTCAGTCCCCAGCATCACTGTGGGCCCACACCTGAGGACACTGGAGCTGCTCTGGCAACGGTTCAGCTCAAAATAAACTGGGTTTAGCTGATGCCAAAACTATCTGTTGCTGGGTAACAGAAACCATCTTAAGTCACCACCGAGGGAAACTCTGGGGCTTGGGTGTTTTTATTTGTTAAAAACCAGCTATCCTGTTAATGTTAAAACCAGCCCTTTGCAAGGCAATTAGAGGGAGAAGTGGCAGTTCATGGGCTGAGGGCCTGAGATAGAGAAAGAAGAAGAATTATCTCCAAAAATACCTAATAATAGACATAAAAAAGAAACTGAACACAAAGGACTGAACTGGAACTAGAGCAAGGACCGACAGGAGAGTTTTGAAAAGCAATCCAGTGAGAAGAGGAAAAGTTCTGAGGGGACCTGACAGTGAGTCTCCTCCCAGGAATCTGGGACACAGTCACAGACCTTGTGTGCTGCCTCTGCACAGGAAGATCAGTGACAGTACAGAGCTTTGGAGTCAGAGAGGGACACAAAGACAATTAATTTGTCAGGATAATTCTGGCAGCAGTAACACACAGAAACACTGAGAGGACACTGTGCAGATGAAGACCAGATAGGCAAGAAAAAGTTTCCAGAATTCCTGAGAGAGAGAGGCAAACCAAAAAAGACTCTAATGGTCACTGTTCCAGAATACTGGTTTTGTAAATTTAAAATAGCAATTGAACCACCCTTCATCTGACAAATACTGATAATATTGCCAAGCTTCAGCAACTGCAATTAAAAATCAACTAAAATGCACAGCTACAGTCACACAGCTGAGATGAGCTGAGGGCAGAGCAATCCTGGTCAGATCTGCTGTTCCTGAGCACTGGAGTCATGTATCTACTCCTGTCTCCAACAAAGAAACCAAATTATAAACAACAATCCCTGGGCCAGGAATGCAAGTCCCAACTACACATCCTTGTAAAGCTGCTGTTCAGCACCCCAAGGGAACAGTGCAGGGCAACCAGAGCTGCTCCAGCTGCCAAGAGAACCCTCTGCACACACAGTTCCTACAAGTTAAAGCCACAGAGTTCAGCAACAAGTGCAGGTGTCAGAACAACCCAGAGAGGAAGGAATCAAAGGAAACAGCAGAATAAATGCACTGTCCCAAGTCATCAGCATGATGCAAATCCATAAATGTGTTCTGTGGGCACCTAAAATTTAAAGGGGGGGGGAAAAAGGTATTTTGGACTCACAGGTTCTACTCACCATATTTTTCGTTTTTGTATTATATGCAGGTTTTGGGGTGGTTTTTTGCAATCTGTCAAAGAAACTGAGCAACAGAACTCTGCTTTCTCTAAAAGTAATGTTTTTAACGCTTGTTAACTGATTCAACACATACACTCAAATGATCACAAGGACTGCAATGAATCTCTATCATATAAAGTATGTGGGAAAGAGGTGATATGTTAATCTAATTTACAAAAAAAGTGCTGTGAGGAAGCTTACTTGGTTCCTAACATATATTCACACATTTAAAATTAAATTAGGATACTCAGACGAGCTGTAAACCTCCCTCACAAACACACACTAAAGAAATCAAGACAGAGTTTACAGTTAGAACCTGTCCAGATCCTTTTGTTACTGTCTTTTTCTGCCAAAGCACATCTGAGACCACAGAAGTTTTTTGCCTTTTGTTGGTCTGGTGGCAGAGAGGCACAAATGCTAAAGCTTTCCTTTCTCTTAGGAGCCTGGTGATTTAACCTGCCAGACCAACTGTTCCTCAAGACATTTCCCCGATTTCCCTGTGGCTGCTCTTTCCCCAGGGAGGCTCCTGGGGAGCTGTGACCTCTCTTGCCCCACATCCCCACACTGATTTCTCAGTGCTCAGCCCATTCCTCACAGAGCTGTCCCAAGGCATCCCCACAGCCCAGTCCAAGAGCTCCCCTGGATCTGTGGGAGTTCAGCTCCAGCACCTCTGAACTCCCAGATCTCACACCCAGGCAGATACACAATGAAAGACTGAAGCTCTCCGAAGCACCTTCCAAGAGGTTTCCACAAGCACACCCAGTGAGTGCTGCCCAAATTATTCAGCTCCACTCTCTCTGTCAGAGACATTCCAGTGAGCTCCCAGGAGCAGGGAGGACTGCTGTCTGCATTCTGCTTCCAACAAAGGCAGCTTTGTTCCCCCAGGAATGGCCCTGTCATGCACCAGAGGCCTATCCTGGTGTTTCTGGACAGTCTCCACTAAACATGTTCCAAGGCAAAGTTCCTAGATAGAAGCTTTTAGCAATTTTGACTAAAGTACTTTTATAAGTATTTTTATCAGCTCAAATTCTTCAGCTCAACTTTTGCCTGAGCAACCAAACCCACTGGTAACTACACCCATACTCAGGTTTTATGTTTTTAAGTAAAGCCTGCTTAAAATACAGCAGAATGGGACAGATGCTCACTTTTATAACAAAAGCATAGATTTTGCTGCCTTGAAAGACCTTGAAAATAGAAAGAGACAGTTCAAAGACACCAAGAAAGAGGCTTCTGGTTTAAAATCACTTCCATTATTTACACAAGTCATGTTGGTCAAAGTCAGCACAAAGTTTTGTTACAGTTTAACAGTATTGCATAATTCAGGAAAGAAAATATGTTTTCATTTAAGTGTAAAAAGGAGTTAGGACTTCTGTTTTTACTCCAAGTTATAAAAAAAGCCAAGCTCTTAAACCATTGGGCTTTACAGACAAGAAAGAATGAGATTATAATTCTAGGCTAGTAGGGTATTTTTCCATGCTTTCCTTTTTTTTTTCTCTCCCCCTCCCACTTCCTTTGAAGACCACTAATCAAAAGGGTTTTAAGAGTTCCCCTAAAAATATTGTTCTCCCCACCCCCATCATACTCTACTTTTACAAAAAACACTTCATGTAAGGAGAAGCCTTTAAAAAGTACGTTTCCTTGAAAATGCAGACTTTGATAATCTGCATTCCCTGACACCACTGCTGGGGTACAACCCACTGCTGAGGTGGCTGAGGGGTCACACAACACCCAACTCCTGGCAAAAGACCTCAGCTACGAGAGAGAGAGAAAAGGGAACAGGGGAAAGGGAAAGCACCCCAACCAAATCCAAATCCTGTCCTATAGCTCCTACACTGGGTTTGCACTTGGCACAACACATCGGCCTCTCTCCCAGGTACATCCATGGAACAAAACCTTGGTTCTCCAAAACCTTCAGAAGACAAAGTCAAATTGCTGCCCAGTACATGCCAAATTCCACAGACTTTATGGGGCTTCAGAGAAAATGCTAAAAAGGACTTTACCACAACTGGGAACATGAAACTTCACAAGTTCCACAAAGGTACATGAGGGTTTAATGCTAAAGAATTCAGATTTTAACATCACAGTTTCTACAAGAAGGACAATTTCTACACAGGAGACAAAAGAAGAGGGCACAAAGGAAAAAACATTCAGATTCCTTATTGAACCCTGAGCCCCTCTGTGAAAGAAGGCCAACACTTCTGTGTTCCACAGGTAGAGAGACCCACGCAAAGCTGTCCAGAGAGACAGCTGGGAGCACCCAGTGCCTCCTCCAGGCCACAGCCTTGACTTCACGAGTTTGGGAAGAAATGGTCATCAGTAAAATGGTCACTTCAGCTTCCAACAAGAAACTTGCTTCTATGTTAAAGCTGTGTAATTCTTTTAAATGCAGAAATGCTGCACTTACTTTTTGCTTGCTTCGTAAACATCCGTGATGTTGGAGAAGAGGTGGTGGCTCTCTGTTTTGGTCATTGTGAGGCTCAGTTCCCTGGAATTTTTAAACATCCGGATCAGAATCTCCAAGCTCAGCAAGTAAGAATGCTCAGAAGAGATCACTTCAAATATTGCCTGCAAAGTAGAGGGGGGAAAGAAAAGACTTCTTAGTGACTGGGCTTTTTTTAATTAAAAGAAAAGAAATGTTGAGGAGGGGTGCAAAGCAAAGTTTTTGCACGTAAACTACAGATTATGACATAAATATTCACTTCTATGATAGTTGCATCACTTACTTTGAAATAAGTGATTTAACACTAGAAAAAAGGACTTTTTTAAGAAGTCTATACTCAGAGTTTTCAATGCAACTGCAAACAGAGGGTTTGAAGACACCTCCAGACCAAGTGTGACCACTCCCCACTCATACTCCTGAGAGGTGGTTTTGGGGGTTTTTGGTGTTTGTTTTTTGGGGTTTGGTTTTGAACATGTCCATTCCTGTGGTCTGTCTGGAAGGTTCCCATCAGTCCCACGACTGCTGGCCAGGCCCTGTTTGCCTTTGCTCTTCCTGACCAGCAGCTGCTCAGTTCCTGACTGTCCCTGGGGCACAGGCCAAGCCCTGCAGGAGAGGAGCCTGGACCCAGAGCTGGGTCAGCACTGACACCTTGGGTCCCTCCAGCACCAGGATCAGGCACAGGAGGGGCCAGGACAGGGGTGGCAGCCGGTCCCTGACCCCTCTGACCCATCACCCTGCACTCCATGAGAGCCCACTGGTCCTCCCACCAGCTGGCACACAAAGCAAACTGGTGATGGACCCTCTGACTTTGAAATCCACTGGAACTTTTCATCTCTGATGTAAAAACCTGTTCAGCTCTCGGACATTTATAGTTGTCTGAAGGTACATGGGTAATAGAACTTTATAGTTCTCAATATAACCAATGTTGATACTTGCATCTACTATTTCATTACTTATCTGCTACTAACTCCTCTAAAACCAAAGGAGAAATACCCAAACACAACAGCACAAGGGTTAGGTTGGAGGCACGAGGCTGAGGTCCCTCATGGGCTTCTTCCCAGTTTGGTAACAATAAATTAAATAAATAGGACAAAGAAAGACACTTTGCTTCTAAAGTGTAAGGAAGGGAGTATCATCTCACCATGACCCAAACACATTCTGGAGAATAAAAAATAAAGAAGGCTTAAGAACCAATCCTGAGTGACACACAGGAACCCCAGCACACCCAGGGGCTGGGTGGCAGCTCCAGGTGATGCAGAGTTCCTAAATGGCACTTGCAGCCAGGCTGTGGTTCATTCCATGATATCAAGGTCAGCAGATGTCCACCCCAATGGACAGGAACTCTCAAGAGGCCAGGGGCACACTGCACTTTGTACACACATACACAGAGCTTCAGCTTGCAGGAAAGAAGATCTGCTGAAAATAATTTTAGTTCCAACCTATGACATATTTTCTTTAGCCAAAAGATGCACAGACCCATCTCACTAATGGGTTCTGAAAAGTGGGATGTGTATGAACACAGGACATGGACATTAATCGAGGCAGAAAACAAACAAATATATTTATCTGCAGTGACAATGTATTATGGTATAATTATAAAATAATCTAATAGGCTCTAAAAAGCAGTTTAAAGACTAGATAAAGAATAGTTAATAAAAGAAATACAGTTGTAGCACAACCTCGTAATGCAACTACAGCTTAAGAATATTTATTTAGGCTCCCTCTGAAAGAATGGGCCTCTAATATTCAAATAAAAAACCTCAGGCTTGAAAACATTTTTGGTAACATTAACGACTTTACATGTAAGAGGCATCCAAAGAACTTGTTCTCTTTGAAAAGATGCAAGTATGATTGGGCTGCAAGTATGGCTTCAGGAAACCCAGACTAAAGGTTCCTGAAGGGTATGACTGAAACCAGTGCCTTGTGTCTCAAAAGCTTCCCAGCAGGAGGCTGAGGTATATCCTGAATTGAAACGAGGACACTGGGACAAGTTACCAGGGCAGGTACCAATGCTACACTGTTTCTACTGAGAACACCTTGTTTTTTCCCTGCTGCCGGACATACCTCAGGAGCTGCAGGAATACACTTGGCTAGGCCAGGCTATGCTTTCAACACCTCTCATCCCCTTTGAAATAGCCCCTGTAGGTGAGGAAGGAGGGTAAAGCAGATAAAGTGGACACAGGGAGCACAGGGGAAGAGGAAAGTGGACCAAGAGGACAAGAGGAGCAAAGGGGAAGGAGACAGAGAGAGAACAGGTCAGTGCATTGGTGGCTGCGCTGCCAGGGAGGCACCGGCTCTGTCAGGGGACAGGGGCAGAGCTCACAGCAGGGACACAGTGCTCTCATGTCCAGCAGGGTTAGTTACAACTCAGGGTCTTTGTAAAAGCTGCTCTTTGTTCCTCATTGCCTTTAAAAATTCATGTGCCACCTCCTCCCTCTGTGATCTCGGGGTCAATGTCACACCTTCCCTGGCACAGCAGTGACTGTGCCACTGCCAGGCTGGACCCCCCCTGGCAGGGACACAGCACCTCAGCAACAGACAGGGTTTGTGTATTAACTCTCCCTGGGGACTGGGGACACTTCACTCCAGGGCAGGAAGCCGAGCAATGAACTTATCTCCTTGTCAACAGAGCACTGAAGCAGGTGAGCAGTGCAGCCCCAAGCAACCAGCCCCAAGCACAGGTTACTGAGATACCTCCTGCCTCTTCCTCTCCTCCTGGCTGATGGCTTCTGACAATCCATTCTTCTTCACCTGCAAAAGAAATAAAGTGCTATTTTTAAAATCTCTTGGGGAAAAATGTGATTTTAAAAAAATAATACAGGATTATCAAAACATTGCAGCTAAATAATCAGTCCACTCCAGGGACAGCAATAAACCAGCAGAAATCAAAACAATGTCTGTATTTGACTTACTGAAAGAATGGTATCATTTCAGTAGAAACTATCCCAAGACACAAACCCAGGAGCACTGCCACGAAAGCAGGCACAGTGGAATCCCTCAGGTTTATTCTTTCCTGGTGCAAATCACACACATTGTGTTTTTTAACAGGAGAATGTTAAAAAACGAAAATCCAAAACCCAGAAAGCAAAGCACCAAGGATGGCCTGGCTTCCTGCAATTCCCAGAGTGTTAAACCCAGGACCCCAAATTAGGAGGGACACCAGGGAAGGCAAAGAGCCACAGCACCACACACGTGGAACACAGAGACATGCCATGGCCACAACACCTCACATGCACTTCCCTCCTCCCACTTCCCTCAGTCTTCTCCAAAAGCTCCTAATGTACTATCAGCAACAGCTTTCTCTCCTCACTCCACCTGTTCCCTGGAATTTTAAAGGATATATTATTCCTCACTTTATTCCTGCCCAGCAAGCCCAACACAGCTGGACAGCAGGCTCAGGAATAAAGGAGGAGCAGGGTAAGAGGTGCCACACTTCTTTGCATGCACACCAAAGCAGAGACTCACAGGTGAGTGCTTATGAAAATAACATCAACATTCCAGTGCTGGAGCAGTTGTTCTTTGGAACACAAGTCACAGATTCCCACGGCACCACAAGCAGACGCTCCTGGATACCGAGCAAGAACTAATTAAATGCCTGTCTATTAAACCATTAAAGTACCTTCCAATCAGCAACCTGAAAGTTTCAGAGCCCTCCCCAGGAAGTGCAATGGCACTGGCAGGTACACCACCTTCTGGATGCAGTGGAAGACTTTTCTAAAAGTACACCAACACAGGAAATACCTGGGAACACATCCCACAGGTGCTCCCTGCTGACACACACACTGCTCAGGGCCAGGGAGCTCCATGGGCACCCAAGTGAACTCATGTTCCCAAGGGCAGCTGTGCCCCGTGCCCACCGTCTGTCACACGCAGGTGTGAGCACACAAAGTACACATGAGCTCATCCCGTGAGCAAACGGCCCAACCTCACACTCCCAGTCAGCAGCAACACTTCCAAAGAGACAGAGGCCCAGACATGGAGACTATTTCAGGCATTTCTGTGAAAGAAACTTCGATTCCTAATTTTGAAGTGTCCCAAATGTTTTAATTGAAATAGCCTTAAAAAAAAATCACATTTGTGACACTATGCAAACAAAAGGCTTAAGGCAAGACCATGACCAGAAGGACTGGAAGAGGCCCAACAGCACAGCTACTAATGCTGTGCGTCATCACATTGGACTGGCTTTTCCTCAGCAACTCAGTTACAACTGATTCAACCATGGAGATGAGGAGGAAAGGATGAAAGGACAACAGGTGAACTCTGGTTAGGAACAAGAAGTTCCCTCAAAATAAGGAGGTGGTGAAGGAGGGAACGTCACTGGAAATATTTCTTTGAGAAATACAAAAAGTGGCTGCACCATAAAGCAAATTGAAGATATGCCCTTTGGTACAGGGAGAGAAATGAGAGCCCCTGCAGAGATGAGCCCTGAAGATCCCTGACAGTCAAACCAGGCAGATCCCTGGCAGCCAAAGCACAGAGAAGCAGCAGCCATGAACAGGGACAGAGTGTGCTTCTGTAAAGCAACTCACAGCAGCTTTTCAAATCAAGGAGAAAACAATCACAACCAAGATCAATCTCAGTTTCATATGTGTGTGTACACTGCAGGAAGGCAGAAACACCCTTTTTATTACTATTATCATAAAGAATTTGACAGCTCCATGCCTGAAGTTCACTAGTCCTCAAACAGAGCCTGGTCAAAGAAACCTCCTGCAGAGAGAGGGGTTCCCTCTGCCATCTCCCCTCCATCTCCCAGCACAGGCACTGCTAACAAACACCAGAAACATTATTCTCCTCCTTCCCTAACATATGCTGAAACCCAGGACTGACATTTTCCAGCTGACTTCCTGCTACAACTCCAGACTCACTTTTTCACTTTTTAATACCCATTGACAGCATGTAATTTTTCCAGAGTTACAACCACGGTCACTGTGAGACTCAGATTGCCAGATTTTGGTTTCTCCATGCACCACCTTTTCCCTCCTACTCCCCACTTCCAACCTTGTAAACCAAGTACAGACAGTGCACAAGTTGCTGTGCTCAAACAGCACAGAACAAGTTGGTTTCTGTAACTGAAGAATGGGACAGTTCCCTTCCTGAGATGGTCTCTGTGCTATTTTTGTCTCACAACAAATTAGTATTTGAAATTATCATTATTATTACTGAATAGCATTCTTCCAAAATACCTCAGCTGGTGAACATTTAACTGCTAGTTTGCCCAGAAGGCAGAAAAAACAATTTGACTTCATTATATCCAAACTTTTTTGCAACGCTGAGCAAATGAACTATATTTAAAGTATTTGATTTGTTGAAAAAAAATTTAGAGCAAATCTTTTCAAAACCACATCGTCTTGCCTTCTTTATAATCATCGAATCAGGGGGATTCATATTTCAATATCTTACACTTCAAAAGGTCACCAGCATCTGTAAGACAGCTCTGCTAATCAGGCCATCTAAAGACCCGTAGGGGATCTCCCTGAGGCTTGATCACTCATTTACTGCAACATGCACAGACATGGACAGCCAGCAACCCCAACACTCCAAGGTGATCATGTCATGGCATCATCTCTCTAATGGCAGAGATGAGGATTGGCAACATTCTACAAGTTGCATAAACAAAAACCAAAAAACAACCCCAAAGCCTTCATTTTAGGGACATCCCTCCAGAACCCACAGAAACAATCAAAGGATAAAATTAACCCCAGAAACACAGAATTTTTACAATTTCTTTAGTCTCAAAATCATGTGTAGGGCAAAAACCTGTAAAAATATCAACTGTTCTCAGTAATTTGCCAGTTTATCAGCAGGGAAAGCAACAAGATTGCAGTACTGATTAAACCAGCTGAATTTACTTTGTTTAATAATGCCATTAAGCCAAAGCTCCTGCAGATGCTTCCCAGCCTGTGCTGGGACAGCAGAGCACCACCAGCTCAACACCCTGCTTTTCAGGATGGTTTCCATTAAACATCTGCACTCAAGTCAACTTAAGAGCTGGTGTGGAGTGATTTAGAACAATTCAGCAACAGCTGAATTGTAACTAACTTTTCTTCAGTCTAATTCGCCCTGATAGTGAACTCACACAAACCCCTTTTTTAAGGAATCGGTGAAGTTGTGTCTTAGCCAAATACAGGGCCCCAAAATGAACTCTCTCGGTTTCACTGCTTTCTACGTGAAACAAAGACCAGTAATTGGTCAGGACTCCCGTGTTGTTCTTATGAAATGAAAAGGAAGATGAAAAACTTCAGCCAAAAACTGCAGCAGCAAGTAAGAAGCCTTTGCTTGAGCCCACCCTGAGCTCTGTCTCTGGCCACAGCGGGATCACACACTCACCACAGAGAGCTGGCTCCACGTCGACCTCAGGGGCTTGTAGTGAAAAACCACCTTGTCATCCGATTTCTGCTCTCGGGGCTCAGACTCTTCATCAGAATCTATGTCCAGAGCCTTTTCCTTATAGTTCTGATATAAAACAGCATTTTCTGTCAAACAACAACAGTGTGTCAGTCATCGCTAGAAAGTTGGTTTAGTTGCTCTCTTAAGAATTATAAGTAACAATTAAACAATGAAAGAAAGCAAAGTGTCACTGTGGTCTCCCCACTCCACCAGACAAAGACAGCATCTGATTTGGGCTGGACAATGGTGCAGTACAGTGACAATGGGTCACTGTACCACTCCCAAAGATCCTCATGGACAGAATTAAAGAACAGACGTGGCCTTTGTCAAGAAAAAAACAAAAAACAATTTTTTCTTCCTTGGTTTGCTGTACCCTATTTTACAATTAGCCAGCAATTAGAAAACAGGACTGTGTGTCAGTGATCAGTCACTGATCTGGAGGTCTAGCTATTTTCATCTTCAGGACCACCACAAGGCCACTGCCCATGACCACCTTTCTGTCAGCTTTAAATAATGTCTTTGCATTTCACTAAGAGAAGGAAATGATCCCAGTTTCAGAATTAAGGTCAGAACTACTCCAAATAGAAAATTCAAAGCTTTCCTGAGTAAGCACAAGGCATATGAACCAAAACACCCTATTTGAGTTCTGTCATCATTAATCCAGTACTATCAGTGGCAAAGAACCCCAAGTGTGGAGCACACCCTGTGCACTTCCCAACCTCCCTGGTCACACAGCCTTTGCAACAGCAGACAGAAAGGACAGAGAAATTCAACACCCCAGTGACCCACAGACAGATTAAGCCGTTAAGCAAGCGGGCTCTGAAAGGCACTTTTAGATGGGCCAGGCTTTGGATAACATCCAATCCTCCCCTAAAAGGGGAAAGTGGAAGAAGGTCTGGCTGCTCCGCACACAGCCCCAAGCCCATGGTCCCACACCTGGTGGGGTGAACTGTCCCATCTGCTCAGACCCTCCAGCCCCAGTGTTAGACAAGGTCTGGCCTCTGTCTCAGCTCTTTGGGAAGTGTGTACAGTCTGCACGAGAGAGGAAATTGTGTACAGCCACTGCATTCTGAGAGGCACTGCAGAGAAAGTCATTAGCTGGGATCAGTCAAAGGCAGAAGGGAACCACTGGAAGAGAATTTAGAAAACGTCATTAGGAGACAGTGGAGGAGAGAAGAAAATAAGAGTAGGAAAGGGGATGATGCAAACAGAACACAGCGGGGAGTTTTGAAAACAGACACAAGAGGAAGGTAACACAGCAGCTGAGATGAGCTCAAGGAGGCATTAAGCAGAGAAAAGCCAAGTGAGTAGCAGTTATTACAATAAAACTTCCATAGCTCATAGCCAGGAAAGATTTTTTTTCTTGTTGAAATATTGGGAAAAGCAGCAAACTTGGCAAAGTCCAGAATTAATAAGTACCACAAAAATGCTAATACATGGACAATGTTTTTCTGGCACTTAAACTTGAAGCCAAGGTAGCACAAAAGGAAAATGATGGCAGAGCCAAAGGATTTGCCCCAGCACTTGAGGAAAAGAGAACCAGCTGTGTGACCCAGCAGCTCAGAGCCTAATGACTCAGGTGTGAGCTGCAGGGGTGACCCCAAACCTGCCAGTCATCCATAATGTCCTGCACCTGGGGAGAGCCTCAGGGAACAGGCCTGAAGGCAGTCCCACCTGGAGGGGCCACCCCCCAAGGAACTGTACAGAACTGTCAGGGCTGAGACAGACACATCCAAGAGCTCATCTTTTGGGAGGGACAGGAGGTTGAGAGGAAAAGAAGCCCTTCACATAAACCCCCATTTTTAGCCTGCCATTTTATAGTCTTTAAAATACCCCTGAAGTATATTTAGGGCCAATATTTCAGTCAGTTTATTGAAAAGCAAGGTACTTAGTCTTTGACTTCCTAGGAAGGAAATGTGAAAACCGACCCTGAAGTTCCTTTCCCCTGGGACACAGGGATCAGCCAGCCTGTACAGAACAGGGCTTACCTTCCCCATCGAATGTCCCTTGGCCTTTCAGCATCTTCTGTAGTTTTAACAGAAAAGAGAGAGATCTGTGTTAGAAAGTGAATGCAAAAGAACCACAGCAACAAGAGCTTGTTTTATTCAACACTTAGGCACCAAATCAACAGGCCCTAACCCATAAACTCTGGATGTTGGACAGGAGTTCAACAAAAACAACTGTTTCACCACAGCAAGTGGAAAGCTACTCTAGTTTAATTCCTCTCATGCACTGTTTATATGCATTTTCCCAAAATGCTTCATTTTCCCTGTGTTTCAAAAGCACAGTATACTGGCTTGAGAGGGGTTCAGTGAACCTACACCTCATCCCACTGTCTCAGCCTTTCCTAGGAGGCCACAAGGCCCAGGACTGAGTGGCTGCCCTTGCACACTCTGCACACAACACCCACTGTAAGTACTTTGTAAGTGAACGTCTTGAGAGCAAAACAAAGCTCTGAAATCAAACAGCTGTTCTGGTGCAACATGTCCTGTGGGCCAAGAGTCTAATAAAACACTTCTGGCAGAGAGCTCTGTGTGTTAGGACAGGACAGTGAGACATCCTCCCATTCTAAACGTAACTTACTGTTCAAGTCTATTACCAAACCAAATCACTTCATACTCTGCAGTTGTTCACAACTTGATCAATTCCTATTTCATCACTTGTAGCATTTTCACAAAAGCTTCTATTACCATAATTTTGAATTTGGCTAAAAACTGTCATAAAGCTGATCATCATTTTAATAGCTACAGCATCAGCCCTCAGCCTGGTATAGTTTATTACACAGTTCTAAACACTCCACAGATATCTGTGAATGTATTTCATAAAGTAACAAATTCTATTTAAAAATAAGGAAATACAATATATGAACACTATATGTTCAAGCAAAAAAGTATTTTCAGTAAGTCTTTATAACTTAATTTTAATGCATTAACATGCAATTAAAATCTACCTACTTCTCCCAAGGGATACAACCAAGATTTAAAAACAGGCATTCCTCTTTTACTTGCAAACATTAAAATTAAGATAACTGAAGTGGTCTACATCGATTTAAAAACCACACAGTGATTTTTACAAGTGATTTAGAAGCGATGTCTCAGATAAAGGAGAGCAGGAGGAAGTTCATTTTTCTGTCTCTGCTCTAGCAGGCAGAGTTTATTAGGACAATGTCTCTTTTTTTCCTGTTTACTCCTTTCTGGGAAGCGGGTTTTAAGCCATGAGTTCGGTTGGGAGAGCAGCCCTCCGTGTGCTGGGGAATCCAGCAGGAAACGCGAGCAGGAGCACAGTGCTGAGCTGCCCAAATTTCAACAGAATAGTGTCCCTCCAACACCTCGCTAAGAAAACAGCATTAACTAAACAGCAGTAACTACGAGAAGTTTTGTATTAGCATAAAGCAAACTGAAAAAAAATGTACAGTCAGCAAATCACGCTCCTGCGGAGCCGCAGCATCACCGCCCAGCGCACCTCACCTTTATCCTGCCCAGGCTCGAAAACTTCTCTTTATCCTCGACCACGGCTTTCAGGATGGGCTGGGACATTCTGTTCTTCTTCTTGCAGTTGGCGGAGCCGTCCAGGTCCACCCCGCTCACCACGGCCCGGCGGTAGGACGTGGAGCGGAGCCCTCGCCGCAGCGTCCCCGGGCTGCCCGGGCCGCCCTCGGGTTCGTCCTCGGCGTCGCTGCCCCGGGGCAGCCGGGGCGTCTCCACCATGCTCCGAGCCTTCAGCAGCCGGTCGTGGCCCTGGGCCCGGCCCGCGGGCCGGCTCTCCGCCAGGCTGAGCGGGATCAGCTGCTGCGAGCCCACCTTCCGCGCCGCGGGGCTGTGCGTGCTCAGCAGCGCGGGGGGCTCCGCGGGGGGACCCCCGGGCACCTCCGCGGGCTCGGCAGCCCTGCCGATCCCGGGGGATCCCTCCGGAGGCTCGGCGGTCCGGCTGACTCCAGCGGATGCCCCCGGGAGCTCGGCGGTCCGGCCGATTCTGGGGGATCCCTTCGGGGGCTCCGCTGTCCGGCCGATCCCGGGGGATCCCTCCAGGGACTCGGCGGTCCGGCTGACTCCAGCGGATGCCCCCGGGAGCTCGGCGGTCCGGCCGATTCTGGGGGATCCCTTCGGGGGCTCGGCAGCCCGGCCGACTCCAGGGGATCCTCCCGGTACCCCCGGGGGCTCTGCGGCCCGGCCGCACGGCGCGGGCTGAGCGCTGGCCGCGAACACGATGCGGTCCCGGTGCGGGGCCAGCCCCGCAGTCCTGGGCGGCCGGGCCCGGCGACCCTGCTCGCTGCCCGGCGCGGGGACGGTGCCGTTGGCGGTCGAACCGACACGGCTGTCCGGAGCCAGGGCGAGCAGCCGGGAGCGCTCCGGGGACAGCCCGGGCGAGCGCGGCGGCCGCACGGTGCCGTTGGACACGGATCCCATGTCGGGGCTGACGGTGCCGGCGGGCTGGGTCACGGTGAATGCGCACCTGTCCTCCACGGGGAAGTCGGTGACGAGCAGCCCGCTGGGGCTCTGGTACGACTGCGGCCGGGGCTTGCTCCAGGCGAGGGGCTGCGGCCGGGGGGTCGCCCGCCTCCTCCAGCACGGAGCGGCGGGGCCCGCCGGGCGCTGCCCGTCCATCGCCGCCCGCCCGGCGCCGCTCGCCCAGGGAGGCGGGCGGGGAGCGCTCTGCGGGCGCGGGGCCAGCGCGGGCCGGGCCGGGCGGGGGCGGGCCGGGAGAGCAGCCCCCGCTCGCACCACCCGCGCTGCGCCGTTCGCTGCCGGGGCCGCTCCCGCCCCACCTGAGGCTCGGCCGGGGGCGGGCGGAGCGGCGCTTCCGCCGCCGGCACAGCCCCTGCGCCCGCCGGGCCGGGGCCGTCCCTTGCCCGCAGGTGGCGAGAGGAGCGGGGTCCCGGGGCTCTCCCCTGCCCGCAGGTGGCGGGAGGAGCGGGGTCCCGGGGCTCTCCCCTGCCCGCAGGTGGCGGGAGGAGCGGGGTCCCGGGGCTCTCCCCTGCCCGCAGGTGGCGGGAGGAGCGGGGTCCCGGGGCTCTCCCCTGCCCGCAGGTGGCGGGAGGAGCGGGGTCCCGGGGCTCTCCCCTGCCCGCAGGTGGCGGGAGGAGCGGGGTCCCGGCTGTGCCGCCCCGAGGGCGCGGGGTGAGCGCGGTGCCGGCAGCTGGGCTGACTCACCGCAGGGTTACGGCAACGCCGCGGGCAGGGCGGGCTGGCGGCGCAACGCTGCCCCAGCCCCGGGCTTCTCGCTGCAGGACCCACAATACCCTCCACATGGGAGAAAGGTTGGAATTTCCCCTTGACACGTGGCCGCGCCGGCATTTGCGTGCGGCAGTGCCATCCCCTGTGCCCTGGCTGCGCGGTGAAACCATCCCTGTGTCCCACCGGGGCTGTGCGGTGGTGCCATCCCTGTCCCACCTCACTGTGCCCGCCCAGGCAGAGGTTCGCGGGGCCCCTGTGCCCCCCACCTGCTCGTTCATTAGGGAACACGTTGCACCTGCCTGGCTCGGGCTGGAGTGCTGGGAGAAAGGTGGGAAAGGAACAGCTTTGTGGTAAAAAAATAGGACGTAAACCATGAATCTGCTGGGAATTCTGACACATCAACCGGAAACACTGTCTGTAAAAATGGTGAAACTTAAATGTGACTTTGGTAACTTCACCGTACATCTGAGGAGAACAGAGTAAGTTTTAAAAAGCAAAACAAAGGCATGCTCATGTTCCTGTGCCGGCGGCTGCACAGGCCCTGTCTTCTTCCATCATGGGACACTTGCTCTGGCAGCCCAGCCAGGGGTCCCTGTGCTCCACAAGGCACTCAGCAGAGTCCCTGGCAGAAGTGACACAGATGATTTTCTGTTCTGTTACATTCAGTAATAATTACAACATGCCCTTGCTTCACTGCCTGCTCCTCTGCAGTTAAAATCTGCTCTGCTTCCATTGAAAAAAAATAATGATCCCTATGTTTTAAAAACCATCTTGTCAGAGCATGTGGAGCATTTAGCATGAATAATTATTTAGCTCCACTATTAAATGTCACATTGGACATGAATGTAAAATAAAATTTTAAATACTTCCCTGGTATTACATCATAAAGCTAAACTGCTTTTCAGGCTTCCCTCGAGTGCATGAAAGACAAAACCTAGGCCTGATTCTGTTCCCGTGTGATTAACACATCCCCTCTGGACTGGCAGAACAGTAACACCTGGAATATTTGGAGACCCTGGAGCCCAAGTTCTGCCTCCACAGCCGGGGACTCTGCAGTGCAGAGCTCTGGAGCTGGGCCAGGAGGCACCCAAGGACACAGCTCATACCTGCTGTGTCAGTCCTGCCCTTCCCGCAGAGCTCTGCTGCTGGACCTGGGGGGAACCATTCAGGTCATTTCCATGTGAGTGGCCCTCAGGAAACACTCTGCAGGGGGGAGCAGGGAAGGCTTTGTTAGGCTGAGCAAGTTACCTCACCCCTGACTGGCAGGGCCCTCCTTTCATCGCCTGTGAGATGCAGACTTGATTTCTGCTGAGAGTTGAACTGAAAGAGCAATCTCAAAAGCTTTGATTAGAGCCTGGACTCACCGGTGATGGTGTATGGTAAGTGCCTGGCAGGTGCAGGACTGGAGAACTCCTGGGGGTGGAGGAGAGAGTTTTGGGGAGTGCTCAACAAAATTACTTGGTTTTCTATGGATGGGCACCCACTTAGGCTCCTGGATAAACTCACAGAAGGGCCAAAAAAACATTAGATTTGTAACTGTTCTTTCCAGACTTGCAAGAGTTCGTGTATCACCAAATCAGAAAAGAATAGAGTAGATTAGAAGTGCTCTATGATATTTTCAAAGGTATAAAAATATTATTTACACTAAGCCTGTTTAGTAGGTAATAAACCATCAGACAAAAATACAGAAGGAAACATAAGGAACAGCCAACCCCATGTACATGCATACAAACCTCAGATATATTAATTCTTCTCCCAGGAGATCCCAGGGAAAACAAAAATCTTACTAAGAATCAAATTAAGCAAAGCACAAAAAACTTAAAATGGGCAAATTTTTATGTCCCACAGATGAGAGAAAACTGCAAATTGCCACTCCAGCTTTAAACAGCCAAAGCACAGGGAGAAGCCACAGGCAGACCCTAAAATGCTGGTTCAGTTGTCAATTGGGATTTCACACTGGATTATTTCTAAAATTATCTCTCAGCTGTCTACATGAAATTGCCAAGGAATTGGATATAGCTGCTCCATATTACTTAACTCACAAATCCTAATTATTAATAACCAAGGTAATCAGCTTTTACAAGATTATTCTCTTGCACATACTTATTCACTGTGCTGCAATTACAAGGGTAATTTTGGTTGCACCTCAGTGTTCCATTTCATACACAGTAAAAGAGAAGTAAAACCTTACAATAAAATTGCCATCATAAGAAAAGTAAAATCAACTCTATAATTTAAGAGAAGAAAGAAATGTAAACATAGTAATTAACCCATCCTTCAAAGCCAGGTCACAGTGTGAAATCACTGAGGCACTTGTGTAGCAGTGCCCAAACCTGATAACAAGCCCACAGATTAAACATCACTTTGGAAGGGTTACAGGGTTCAATATATACTTTTGTGTAAGATCTGAATGTGAAAATGTAAATGTTCATGCAGTAACTTGCAGGAGATGTGTAAAGACTCGGGGTCGGGCCTGTGCTTTCTGTCAAACAAGAGAAGAGGAAGACGAATCCGTGGACACTTTGTACGTCCAGTTTCAGAACCATCTCAAACCTCCCCTCCAGCTCTGGGCTGTCTCTGGTGTGTGCTGGGCTGGAGCTCTTCAATGCTGCAAACACCTGGAGATGTTGGGACACACCTGTAATTCAGTGTTTCTAAATAAACTGACTCAGTTTGCTGTGTCAGTACTCCCTCACCCATACTTTGATCAGCCCTCTCTGTCCCTCAGTTTTGGGATGTAAGGAGGTGTGGAGCAGAACCTGTGCAGTGGGAACTGCAGCAGAGAGAATTCCCATGCAATGCTGCATCCCTTTGGAACCTTTCCCAAAGCCAGGCCCTGAACTAGCCATGAACACCCCTACAGCTTCAGAGCTGTGCAGGTGACCCTGGCTGCTGGTTGGGCCCATGGTCCCCCACTGCCTCCAGCCTCCTCAGGGGCATTTCCATCAACATCTGCCCTCTGTGCCTCCAAGAGAGGGGACGGGTGAAATGGCTCCAAGGGAAGTGCCCAGCTTTTGGTTAATCCCCCAGGAATCACTGCATGTCCCGTCTGTGTTAACTGACAGCTAGGAAATAGTAATACAAGTAACATTCTTTTGAAACTCCTGTCTTTCCCTGGCTTTGGGCAGCTGAAGAACAGCCAGCCCTGCTCAGATCAGAGCAGAATTAGCAGGTGGGGGAATAAGGCTCTTACTGCCCCCCAAAGCCCCTCCACAGCCTCAGCAGGGACAGGGTCAGCACAGGCGAAGAAAGGACGAGCTGTGAGTGTGACAGAGCTCTGCTGAAATCCCCCTGGCACTGCTCTCACTGCCTGTCCAGGGACATGAACCAGGGCAGTGGAGCCTCTTGCCAATGTGAGGAGCAGGATTTTCCCAAGGAGGACACGGTTGCTCCAGCAACACAGGCAATCCCAGAGCACTCCAGCCGTGGGGTGCAGGAAGGGTCAAGCCTTCCGACCTTGTGCCCCCTTTCTTCTCCAT